TAGGAACAAAATTTTTTATTCATTGACACACATAAAGCAGAAGTCTAACTCAATATAGGCTTGCACATATTACTCATTTCTGTTGTAGAGAAACAGACGCCATTACAAGTTCAGTTTAACCATTTTGAGAAAATTTAATAATTTTTTTGATAAACCGAAAAAATTTAGTAATTTTGATGAAAAATTTGCCACTTCCCTATTAATTCATTGAAATACATGAATGGTTCAAATACTTAAACTAAGGTGAACTAAGCAAAACCATCTATACATTGAAGAAAGCAAGAGGCAAGAGAAAAACCTGCTCTAAATTTATTCTGTAGAGATCTGGTGATGAGGCAGCACAAAGCAAATCACAAGACCAGCTATCATATATAATATCCCTTCCCATCCTAAAGAAACAGGAGAGCATATAAGTGATCTTAAGCTGGCATTTAAAGATGATATAGTTCATACAGAAAATAAGCAACAGCGAGTTTCAGAAACAGAAAGGAAAGGGCCATGAAATGCCTACTGCCATGCACTAGAAGAGTTGGGACTCTGATATATCACCAACGGGAGTAAACTTTTTTCTGTTTTTATTAGCAAGAAGATTTCTAGTGATAATAACACTGGGAATAAACTTTCTTCCAGAACCTAGCAGTATAAACGAGGAGCTTCAGGATTAACTGAATTTCTCTGAAAGAGACGCAATTTATTATGGCTTTATATCACTTAAGACCCTTCTTTCTTTGGAGAATTATTACAGATACATTCATAGATTATATTTATTCTCTGATTCGGTCCAGTGGAATCTAAGATTTCAAGTGGAACAGGTTTAGCTGTTGAATAGCATATCTAGAACACTAGAGGGTTCCGCAAGCTTGATAGTAGTGACACATTGAGTTCTTAACTCAACCTGTTTCAATTGTGCAAGTGTAAGTGCTAGAGGAAACAAACAGTCCTTCTGACAGCTCAATGTTTTGTTGATACTCTTGATAATTAACATACATTGTTTTCTAAATTTTGCATTTCATCAGTATAGTAAATCGCAGGCAGCATATGGATCAGAACATAAGGAGAAAACAAATGTAAGTATGACCTTGGAATCCGCAATTTATGGTGACTTCCATATTTTGCATGGAGGCAAACAGAACGATCAGCACAGAGAAATGCTATTTTCGAGTAGTCATCACCCAAGACCTACAAAAGATATCAAACATGAAATATACATCAGTGTAGATTTCCCACACTAATTAGAGAAGAAATACACAACAGAACTTGTTTCCATGTTTTTGGCTTCTAAAAAGGAAAAACCAAAACAGGGAACAAGCATAAACATTTACTATCGAAGCGCAAAAAATCAGAAAAAACCCCAAAAGAGCATAAGCATTGTTCATAAAAAGAAGTACTACAAATAAAAAACAATTTTGTTATTTTGGGTGTAGTAGCAAGTGTGCAGACTTCAAAGAGAGAGCGGGAAAGCAGTCAGTACTTGAAAGTTAACAATCTCTGACACCAAATGCCTTTCAAACTTCAACGACAGCTCCCGCAGCTCATACACTTTAACTTGTGGTGGGTAAATACCTGAAAAATTAATATTGTCATCAACTGATACAAAATATAGAAAATACCGGGCAGCTGAAAGAATCTACTCATCTAATACATGTTCACAAGGGGTCTTTTAGTTTGTTATAGATTTGTATGCCAGCAGAAAACATAGGGAAAAAACTGGTGAAAGAACCAAAATTATTGAATAAGACAGGCCTAAATGGGGAGACATTAACAGTGATGAACTGGTGATTTATATAGTTGACCCTATCTTGAGGTAGAGGCATAGCTGTTGCTGTTGTACTCATCTAATACATGTCTCGATTAATAGAGGGGCAAACAATTGCACAACAGTAAATGTTTACTTCCCCATGTGTGATATTTTATATAAGAAAGCTATTTGTTCAGGTTAAACATGAATAAGTCTCAACCAACACAGGAAATAAGATTAATTTCAATGCTTCAACAACCAATAAAATGAACCAACATATTTATAATACACCTGTTCTATATGTAAAAACAATAGTCAGTTTACATAGAAATAACTGCATTTATACAACACAGAAGGATAAATATGCATGAATATCACATTCAATAGCAGCAGTGCATAGTGAAGCCTTTCTATAACTCAGAAGTAGTTACTTCTCAATAACCCAGGAGAGATCATTCAACAAAAGCATAATATTTCAAGGAAACAAAAGTTGTCCAGTATATCAATTGATGATACAAAAGAAATAAGTATGTCTCAAACTGCAGAAAATCACCTGATGCAATGAGATACTCCCCATCAGGAGTCACTTTAATTCTTGTTGTTGCAGTTTCAAATCTCAAATCTTGAATCAGATCCACTCTTTGCATATAACCTGCCAAAAGAGAGAGAAAATATCTTTCATAATACAACCATAATATCCTACAATACCAAATATGTATAAATGGCAACATGGATCTAGGATTCATATAGCTGGCCCGAACTACACAAGCTATGCAATTGGATTTTACCCATCCTGTCCATTCATATAGAGGAACTCCTTAGAGATGTTCAGCAACAAACAAATTGTTACACATTGTATCGGCGTGCTGTGTGATAAGAATGTGTCACCAAGACTTCAAAGGTGAGCTTTATAAAGTGGTTGTCAGACCACCAACTCTGTTATAACTTATATGGAGCGGGGTATTGGCCAGTCAAGAACCCGCACGTCCAGAAGTTGCAAGTAGCGGAAATGAGAATTTTGAAATGGATGTGTGGGCTTACAGAGAGATAAGATTAGGAACGAAGATATTTAGGACCATGTGGGAGTGGCCTCTGTGGTGGACAAGATGAGAGAGGTGAGGTTGAGATGATTCAGGTTGTGAAGAGGAGATTCTCAGATACCCCAGTGAGGAGGTGTAAGAGATCTACTCTAATTGGCATAAGGAGAGGTAGAGGTAGCCGAAAAGGTATTAGGAGAGGTGATTAGATAGGACGGGGCACAATTGTAGCTTACCGAGGACATGACCCTAGTTAGAAGGTTATGGAGGTTGAGTATTAGGGTAGAAGGTTAGTAGATAGTCAAGCGTTGTCTAATTCACGTCAGCAGTGTTGTTTATTACTCCCCTACTATCTTATTCTTTGATTTTGTTATATCTATGTTTGTTTTTCTTCTTCACGGCTGTATTTCTTTTCTATACTTGATCTTGATATGCTTTCCTTGAGCCGAGAGTCTATCGGAAACAACCTCTCTTCACAAGGTTGGGGGTAAGGTTGTATCTATAGTGTATAGTGTATTTTTTTACTACAAAAACTGGAATGTATACATTTTTTAACATATTGATATAACATGATTTTACCAAATAATAACATCAAACTAAATCTACATTAGCATATCGTTCAAAAAAAAAAAAAAGGAACCAAAAAGGTGAAGAATCAATCATCACAGAAGACCATATGATATAAAGACAAGGTATCCAAAAACACATTCATATAAATTACAGCCCAATTGAAAAACAATCTTTGGTACACAATTCCAGAATTTTTCCTTCAAAGATTGAAACTTTCTTTACCAGACATAACAATGCTGCTATAATTCACCAAATGTTTTTCCAAAAGAAAGTAAATAAGCGAAAGCAAGAGGCTAATGCATACCTGGATCTTTACGAAGAGCTCTGAGCTTCTTGGGAGCAAGCCATGTAGCCACAGAACGGTGTTGGCCAGCAACGGTATACATCTTCACTCCATTTATAGCAGTGGACTTCAAGTTTCCCCCTTGGTACGCCATTGTAATTCAATTGGCAGACAGAGTAATACCCTTTTTCTAGATATAATGAATCCATGTCAGAGACAGTGATGGGATACCTCATAAATCAAGAGGAACGTCTCAGATTAAATTTTTCACAAAAATGGTATTTACTCACTAAAACAAGGATTGCTATCAAAACTTCCAGCTATTACAACACAAATCAAAATAAGATCATATAATAGCTTGCTAAAATAGCCAGGAAGAATATATCAGAGACAGTTGCTAAGCTGGGATTCTAAGCAAGTGAATAAATACATAAACGAGTGCTAATTCCACTATTTTCACCTAATAAATATCAATTCCACTATTTTCACCTAATAAATATCAATTTAGCTTCAAACAGCCTCCTTCTACGTCTTTTTTATTAAAAAAATTGAAAAGACACCGTTTTCAAACTTCTAACTATTTTTTTTGAGAATGAAAAAAGTAGTCGTTCATTGAAATGAATTGAAAAAGTTAAGGAGAATACTAATGTTACAGTAGAAATCTAGGCTACCAAAAACTTACGGAGTGTCGCCGGACGCCGGTCGTGGTGGCAGCCGGCAGCGGCACGGTGAAATTGTTTGTTAGAAGCGAGCGGCTGGTTCCAATTTGGACAGGGTTTTGGGAAAGAAAGAAAGGAGAGAAGGGAGGGTTTTAGGAGAAACTAAATTAGTGGGAAAAATGACAAAAATATCCTTTATATTTGGTTAGGTCTAAAGTAGTCCATTAAATTATATACTTTGAGCAATTTTAGTACTTCTAATTTTTCAACTAAAAAAAAAGAAGCAGTTTTAGTCTATTAAATATTGGGAAATTAACAATTTCAGTCCTTGTATTATTATATAAGTTTAGTTTAGTTCTTGTATCATTTAACTATGCATATTTAACCTTTAATTCATTTGAAGGGTATGATTGTTAACAAAAGTTAACTATTTTAACAAAATGATTATTTCAAATATATAAAACATAAAATGAAAGGAAGGGTTGATGATTATAAAGGCTTGAAGAAAAAGATCAAAATTTTATTTTATATATCTAAAATATATAGACAATAGAATGATTATTTTAAATATATAAATTGATCTCATTTGCTTCTTGTTTGCTCTCTTCTTGGTTCATCAGCAATTCTATCTTCCTCTATTTTTTGATGAATATCAAATACGATTACATTTGAAAATTCCCGTAGGTAGATGGGCTCTTTAGGGCCACCAAAACTTGTTAATTGTGATCATCAATGGGAAAAGATTGCTAGCTTATTTAGCCGCCGAAGAGAATATTATTTACGTATATATTACAACGTCCGATATTATAGTTCTGGCATATACAAAATCAACCCTGGACAGATGCAGAAATTCATGATTGCTAGCATCAACAGCATCACTAAGGCCAAATACGAAGTGCAAATGTTTCTTCTGTAAGGTGAAGACAGTTGCTTGAATTGCGAAAAGAATTGGTATCCTCCACAGGGAGTCAGAAGTTAGAACTAATATGTACAGAATACAAGCCTGCAAACGAAGCATAAAAGTAGAGATCAGAACTTAGCATGTCATTAACAGCAAGAAGTTGTACAAAGTCTACATGACATCCCTAGAAGCATGTAACAAATCCATCTACTGTAAAATAAAGTGCAAAGAAGCTGTAAATTGCAGTTGGATAGAGTGGAACGTTAGGCTGAAACTTTGCACCCAAGAGTGTGGCCTAATGGTTAAAGAAGTGGGTGAAAACCATGATGTCTCAAGTTCAAATCCCATCAAAGACAAAAACACTAGGTGATTTCTTCTCATATGTCCGTCCTATCCTTGGTGGATAAAGTTACATATATACCTATTAGTTGAGGTGCACGCAAGTTGGTACAGAAATATTCACATGTTGTCCATCCACTACATACGGAAACAACACTCAGATGCTCAATCAGTGTTCCTAGAATATCACAACTAGAAGAAAATGTCAAGACGAGAAGTTTCCACCAAATTTCAACTACTTCGAACTAACTCAAGTGTGACACTCTTAAAATTGGACTAATTGTTGACATACCAAAGGGACAACAGTTCTTAAATTCATTAGATTCAAGAAGATATCAAGATACATAAACCAGACATAGTCCAAGCTCTTCCTCCCAGAAACATAATTAATAAAGAATGCCAAAGATGTGCAGGAATCATACATTTACTACAGCATTTACGTGAGGAACTGCATGTCTGTACAATCTGGTTGTGTTGCAAGAGCTATATGAGCGGTCTCAACATATCCATGATAGTGGAAAAAGAGGGGCGTTTCCACGGCTCACTGCAATAGTAGAAGTAATTTTAATAAAACACATCAATACAATCCCAAACTAGCTTGGTAAGAATAGGAGCAACATACTTCACCCAGCAAGCTTCAATAATAGTTGTCACCGGATGATTCAAGTCACGTGGAATTTCAAGCCTCATACCCTTAAAGCCAACAGCTGCTACTACCTACAGTATCATATATATTACATCATGTGCAATGCCAATATCAAAGAGACTGTTCAACAATCACAAGACTAGACAGACTGTTCCATTTTGATCTTTCAAATATTAAACTTGACTCAAAAGGTAGAATATCCAACAAAGAAACAGCAATAGATGCACACAAGCCAAAAAAAACAAAGGATGCAATATGACACTAGTGATGACACAATAAGCACTACAATCTTTCAGTTGTTTCCATTCCATTCCTAGCTTTCCGAAAAAATGAAATCTTAGTAATGAAAGCAACTTAACAAAGAGAGTTATATGATGTCCTCCCCCTACTGCAGGTACAGTTTCAATCCAAATTTGTTTGCTTTTGCAGTGCTGTGATACAATCTGTGAAGAGATCAACAACATAATAGAACCTAAACCCATAGCAATGGAAAAGAGAATCCCTGTGACTTTCCTATTCATTGCCACATGGATGATTAGTTTTCTACATAAACCATGTTCTTTTAATGAAGCTTCCTATATAGAGACCAGTTAAGAAGAGGTACTAACATAAGAGGAATAAAACGACCCTTTTCATGCAATTGCTGACACCAAACTGGAAATTGCCCTTCTCCCTAATAATAGCAATCCCCAGACCAATATATTTTAACATTCCAAGAGAGAGCTTAAGGTCCTTTCACTTGATATATTACCCAGTCCCCTCGGATTGTATTCATTAGGTAACCTTTCCCATGACTAGAAATACTTCAAAATTACAAAATACAAACCTGTGGTGGATTCAAATTACTCCAAGGTTGTTGCAATGTTGCCAGCTCCCACAAGATGACACCAAAGCTGTATATATCAGATTTCTCATTTGACGGCTCATCACGGAGAACTTCAGGTGCCATCCATTCTGGCTATTATGATAAGTAGCAAATCATATTTCTTCCTTTTCTTTTAGTAATCACCAATGCCAAATATTGACAAAAGATAAAGCACCAGATGTAGAACTTACAGTCCCGGCAGCTGACTTTGATGACAAAAATGTATTAGCTTTTAATCGAGAAAGACCAAAATCACAGACCTGAAAAAGACATTTGACAGGAGTGGCACATGTAATACCATTTGTAGACAGAATAATTTCAATACACACAAAAGTATGTACTAGTAACATTAAGTGCTTCTGTTAGCGGTAAACCATTGCCAATTTCGAGCAAGATAACCAAGTTTTGTGAGTGTTCAGTCAGTCAAATGTAAAGTTGGCCATGCTCCATTCCTGTCGTCATGAAACACCAAGACAACTAGACATGAGGGGAGCACAAGAGATGGTCATATTACATCTATGCATAAAGCTAACCCCAAAGGTGTGGCCTAGTGGTCAATGAAGTGGGTTGAGAACCACGGGGTCTCAACTTCAAATCCCAGCAGAGACATATTAGGTGATTCCTTTCCACCTGTCCTAGCCTTGGTGGACAGAGTTACCTAGAGGTATCCCGTGACATTAGTCGAGGTATGCACAAGCTGAAGATGATGCATGTCAAAATGTATCTCTTTTCTTTCTGTTGTTTATATTGTTTGAAACCAGACTAAATTTTTTATGAATAAGCTACAAAGAACAAACTCTTTTAAAGATCACATGCATGGCATGCATTGAAGACATGCAGATGATGCATATCAAAATGTATCTCTTTTCTTTCTGTTGTTTGAATTGTATGAAACCAGACAAACATGTTCTCAGTCAGATCTGGCAAGTCAAATTAGATGATCAAGATTTCAGATATTTCACATTTGATCCAACTTAACAAGGAAGAGGATGCAAAGACATACTTCTGAAGATAAAGGACAGAGGTATCATATAAATCTTTTTAGAATAGGGCAGGAACTGATTGAATAAGACGATAGGAGAGAAGGGGGGCAGGGGAGGACAAGACATTTTATAATTAGACATACGCCTATTCCAACCAGCAATCCAGATATCAATGTCTATAAATAATAAGAAACACTATGAACCCAAACATACAGCACGGCATAATGATTTTCCATTTAGAAGGTGTTAAAGAATGACAAAAGTCCCACATCGGTGGTTAATGAGATGGGTGGACTCCTTACAAGGCTTGGGCAATCCTCCTCCCTTTGAGCTAGCTTTTGGGGTGTGAGTTAGGCCTAAGACCTAATTTAACATGGTATCAGAGCAGGACCCGTCTCACTCGATGTTAGGGACCCCAAAATCAAAATTGTCCACGCACCAAATGCTAAGAACTGGGTGTGAGGTGGGGTGTTAAAGAATGACAAAAGTCCCACATCGGTGGTTAATGAGATGGGTGGACTCCTTATAAGGCTTGGGCAATCCTCCTCCCTTTGAGCTAGCTTTTGGGGTGTGAGTTAGGCCTAAGACCTAATTTAACAGAAGGAATCTCCAAGATTATGCTCTGTTTTTTAAAAAGTTTGGTCAATTAGAATTTGGTGTGTGTTTGGTATGAAGGAAAATGTTTTTACGGAAAAAAAATTCATGAAAACTTATTTTCGGGAAAATAAGTAGTTTTCTTACTTATTTTATGTTTGATAAGTAAGCAGAAAATATGATTCCAAGGCAAACAATATGGCGGTGGGGGTGGCGGGGTGTGAGGTGGTAAGAGACAGTCAGCATATGGGGCCACATACAGAACTTGTATTTTCCCTACTCCCACTAGGGAGGTCATTTTTCTGTTATATAAGAAACTTGTTTTTCTAGAGAAAATGTTTTCCAAAATATTTTAGTAAGGATAGTTGGAAAAACAAAACACTTCCCTAGTGTTCTACATGGATTGCAAATTTTAACTCTCCATCATTTGAGAAATCTGATGTCAATATTTTGAAACTACCAAGTCCAGGTTTCACTTAGTTAAAAGATTCTGAAGCTACAATGTTCATTCCCTACCTGTTGAGCCATGAAATATAAGTTTCGTATGCCACCTTAATAAACAGAGATTGGCAAGGAAGACGCATCTCAAACTAGAAAAAAATGTCCCATAAGGAGCCCACAGATTAGACCACTACTTGGACAGCCCCAGTTTGAGAAGATATCAACTGGAGGCATGGCACTTTTGTGCAGGCTAAAGAGGTTCTCAGTCTCACCTTCACTGTATATTTTTTATCCACCAGAAGATTTGGAGATTTTAAATCACGGTGAACAACGGGTGGTTTGCGTTTGTGAAGATAATTCATCCCCTTTGCCTGCACAAGATGATAAAAGACATTAGATACATTAAAAAATAAAATTTATAAGAGAAGGGGGAGCAGAGAGATACTTATTCATACCACATCATAAGCCATACACAACCGACGCCTTTCATCCAATACCTCTCTCGCACCAGGTTTATGAAGAAGCCTATATAAGCTACCTCTGAAATACAGAATGGCATATGACCAGTCAGAAAAAACAAAAGTAAAAGCATAACACTTTGTGTATTCATCTAAAGGTAGATCAGGTCACAACCTTGATAAATATTCTGTAACTATAGACAAGTTTGGTGGCTCAGTAACAGCACCCATGAAAAGCACAATATTTGGATGTCGCAACGGCTTCATAATTGCAACCTGCACCAACCAAATGGAAACTAAAACAGAAGAATGGAAGAGGAAAAACAAATGATAATTTGAGATCCACTGATCCTCATCTTTATACACCCATCTCTCCTTTTCTCTTTTATGTTATTTCAGCTTATTAGTGAGGAGAGGAGCCCCAGACTGACCTCTTGCAAAAATTCCTTGTATCGCTCTGCATGAAAATCCTGTTCCATGAGAATTTTCACAGCAACATCCTAGAAAATACAAACTTCCATGAGAATGCAATTAGGAAGGAAACCAGTGAAATAGGATCTTTGATAAATTTCACATCTCTAATTTGACAAAATGAACGCTTCCCCACCCACCCCATAAAGCAATTTAATTCTTAAAGGAGGCTTCATAGCTACCATGTTAAGATAGAAAAAAAATCAAATCCTGAAATCTGCTCCTAAAAGTTCAAATGCATTTCAAAAGTGCAAAATAAATAGTTTTGTGATGAATCAGGATCTAGCTGAAAAAACACAATGGAAGCAAAGGATCCGTACAGGTGATTACCAATTAGTTGAAATTAGGGGCTCGAAATTTGCACTTATACTAGGAGTCTTTTAGGTTTGGTTAGAAATTTGAATGACAGTGTTCTCCAATTTGGATAGAAATCTGAATGACAACATAGGGATGAAACTGAGATTTAAAGAACCCCTAGTTTACCTAAAAAATAAACAGAATGAAACTGGTGGACATAAAGGATACATAGAGCCGAACCCAACTATTTCGGAATTGAGGCATAGTTGGTTGAAAACAATTAGAGAGAGATACAGGTGGAATATGCTTCAAACACTCGGAACTAAATGGGCAATTTTCTTACAGAGCCATTCCAGTCAGCACGGTGAACAGTACCAAAAGACCCTGCAAATACAACAAAACAGTGTAAGCTAGACTAGTTTTGGATGTCATGATACTACTGTATCCTAATATTATTGACATACAGCAAAATAAACACAGAGCTAACACTATGAAAGTAGCTAGAAACCAGCAGACTGGGATTACCTGCCCCAATTCTCTCCTTCAGAACCAGATCATTCCAGGAAATAACCAGATCTTCTACATCAAGAACAAGTTCTCGACTTGGTTTAGCAGGAGAAAGTCTCCCTCCTCCCTCAAAGTACCTCTGGTCATTAATGGTATGTGTCCTTGCCTCAGATATTGCAATCAGTTGAGCATCTCCATACCTAATTGGAGGGACGTTTTTCAAATGAATCAAATCCTCTTCCTGGCGCATTGAGGTAGACATATTTGGAGGATGATATAATGCAGGAAGTTGAGAGCCTTTATCACATCCCTTATTCCATGCATTTATTGGAGGCAGAGGTAACCGTGAAACTTCATCACGATTGCTTGAACTAGGAACTGCACTGCTTCTATCCATGGAACTTCTGTCCGTTTGTCCAGCATCCCCATCAACTGCAGTTCCTGCACCAAACAATGAATTATGAAACCCAAAAACAAAACTAATTGATATAAATGTCACCAATAAAACAGAAGGGGATCGGTTTGCAAACGAGAGTGGCAATTTATTTGCAAACAAGATAAGGTTGAATATACTTTCCTTGGTCTGGACACTCTAGGCTCAAATATAGACTAGCTAAAATGATGAACACTTAAATCATACTAGATCCTTGTAGCTTCATCGCGGGGAGCTACTGTTATTCAACTTGTTTTTACACATTAGGAGCTCCGCTAGAAAGATATGAAATACTATTATTTAAAAGAAACCTAATAGGTATAACACTCAGAGGTAGTATTTTTAAAAATTGTACTTACAATTGTGTCGACATTTTATCTACGATCTCCTTTATTCATTTTTAACATATTAATTTCATCCAAGAAGTCGGTATCAAATATCAGGCCTTTAGATCATTAATCAAAACAGAGAAAAATTCAAAGACAAAAGAGGACAAAGAAAATAGATGCCGAGATGATGGAAAACCGTCAAAGCTGAGCAGTGTACGTTTAGACTTTCTTGGTACCACAGAACTGTTGAGCTTAGTCTTTTTTCTGGTTAGTACTATGCTGAAACAAACTCATCCATGATTAGATACTAATCTGTTGGAGTAACAGAGTCATCAAAGCCGAAACGATTATGATAGCATCAAGGTCTACTTGGACTTCAACCACAAAGCGCAATAAAAGCTGGGTTTTTGGGCGGAAAACAAAAAAAAAACGAAGAAAAGTAGAAACTACAAATTTAATACTAATAATAATAATAAATATATAAAAATAAACTATAATTATCTAGCCAAAGAGCAGATAAAAGTATAATTAAATGAATTAAGAATAACATATGAGGTTTTCATGTTAAGAAAGCTACTTCATATTTATATTTTAAAAGTAAAGATGCAGTTATAGATTTCCACTGCTGGTTTTATAATACAAAATTTTTAATTTCTTATTCCTACTCTCTGATTCTTTCATAAAATTTGGTTAACAATTCATATACCAATTGGTCAACCATATTTTACTCCCTACTGATACCTATTAAAGATTACCCCCCCCCCCCCAGTGATGAGGTGTATACCTTGGTGCCTGCACTGAAGTGCTGCCAAAGTTAGGTGAAGTGTCCAACCTGGGCTTCACCAAGTTTCAGGGTTTAAGCAATGCGTAGTACTGGAAAATGAAGAGAGAAGCAGCAAAAAAATCTTAATTTTCACTGGAATTTTAATTTGGAGGGATTGGAAACCAATGAATTCTCTGGAGAGATTCAGCTTTGTTATAGTCAAAGAATGCTTAAATTTCTTAGGAGGAGCAACAGTATGAAGGTCGGAGAGAGAAAGAAGCCTAAGTGCCTGTTTAGCACAAATCCGCTCTATCCAAAAAGATAGCATCTGATCCAGGCAGTGTTTTGGACGGCGAAAGGCGACAAGGGGCTCGCCTTTTTGAATCGAGGCGCCAATTAATACCAAAAAATAAAAATATTTAATTGCATATATAAATATCCAAAATCTCAATATCAATAACATATATTAGCAAATATTTCAATTCATTATAGAAGAATTAATTAATTTATTTTTAAAATAATAGACAGCAAGAAATAGCATTCAGCAGTGACAGTGAACAATAAAAACAGAGGAAAAAAAACAGAGCAGTGAAGGCAGCAAGCAGTAGTATCTCAAAAAGAAGAAGAAAAAGAAACGAAGAAGAGGACTGAAGAGAAGAAACGAAGAGAAGAAGAAGAACAACAACAACAGAAAAGAAGAAGAAAAAAAAGAGGTCATACTCATACCTGGCAGCAACTCGCGCGACTGTAGGAGGAGAAGAGATCGCGAGGAGAAGAGGAGCAGCAACTCGCACGACTAAAGGAGGAGAAGAGGAGAAGAAACGCAACTGATGAAAGTTTGGAAATAGAAAAAAACCCTAATTTTGACTAATATTATTAAGTCAGATCTTTTTAAAAATTAAAAAACAAAATGGCGCCGCCATTTACGTCGCCATCTTTGCGCCTTACGTCGCCTATTTGGGATCGCCGCGCCACACTGTAAAATGGCGAAATAGGCTCGCCTCACCTCGCCATAGCGCCTTTGGTGAATGGCACTCACCATTCAGAACACTGGATCCAGGAAAAAAGAATGGAGTAGTATGATGTCACTATGAGCACCATTCAGTTCAATCCCTTGTTGTGGACCTCAGTAATTTTGATGAACACAGGGAAACTGACTTGAACTTTAAGGAACATTCTTTGACAATACCAAGGCTGAATCTCTCCAGAGACCTCAGTAATTTTGATAAATACAGGGAAACTGATTTGAACATTGAGGAACAGGAGTTCTGTGAAATGGCCATTGTAGGCTCCACAAGGAAACAAAGGAACTTCTACAAAGAGAAAAGGGTTTAAAGATTACTCTCCAGAACAATGTAAGCAAGTTATCATCAACATTCCTGTTTAATGCCCTTCAGTAAGAAAGCAGGTGACAACTATTGAACTCTGGATTGCAGGTGAACATGGGTAAAATTATCTGTTGGGTATGTATTATTGGAATAAGACTGAAGCAATTTGAAGGACTGCTATTCCCAAATAATAAAGTACATAAATGTACCACCAAAAATTACAGGGATGTTACAAGTTTAAGGGTATATAAGTTCGGATACGAGAGAATTTTTCTGGATGTTGAAAAGCTGCAAGTGCAACATTTAATTGAATCCATTTTTGTGACCCCAAATATCTCTAAACCTCTTATCATATCATATTATCATGGCAAAGGGCAAGCTCAACATTCGGAAAATGATAAGTGTTCACAACAACCCAGATGAGCATTGAAGATTTATATGTATGTTTGTGTAGGCAAGTAGCCATCAAAGGATCACCTGCTAAGGGTTTTCTTCTGTATCTTTTTTTTTTGTTGGGGTTGGGAGAGTGAGGGGGGGGACAATACCTGTTGAAGAATCATCAAAGACCAGATTAAGTGATAGACAATCCGAAAAATACTGTTTGGCCAGTGACGTGAAATCCATGGCAGGTTCAACTTGTCCAAATCTCGGAAGGCGCAATGGTGAAGAAATCGAGATGGAAGATGGACCATTGAGCAATGAATTTGGTTCAGATAAACATCCTGGATCCTGAATCAAATCAACCAAGTATTCCCTGTATGGTGCATTTGCTTTGTGTCAATGCTTATGTACTTATTCTTAACATAAATAATTCTTATGTCCATAAATAAATATGAAGCTATCCAAATACACAAAAATGATTGGCGTACTTCAAACCAATATATCTGTGTGTGATTATAGAAGTGTACCGAGACCTGTCTAGCAGAAGAGTTCAACAGCTAAAGCAGACAGTAATTTCTTCACATTCATCAAAGTTATAGCATTCAGAAAAACAAAATCCTGCTGTTCACCACACTGACTTCATCAGATTTCTTGTTATTTTTATTTTTAATTTTGCCACGATTTCCAGTTTTTCCTATTTTCAGGGCTGAGCGGATGAAAAGAAGGATGTTTCTTTGGATTGAAATTGTAAATCTTAAATCAAATGATTAAGACAGTATAAAGTAAAAACAAAGTCAATGTCATGAAGTTGAGATTTCAATCTCAGTGTGCTTTAAATCAACCACCATTCTCACTCAACTATCTGAATTGCAAAACCTGGATGGTTCAGACATTAGACCATTAAGTGCATTTGTTTTCATTAAGATTTAAAGCACTTATTGGTCTGAATAAGTCTTAATCATTAAGATCTAGAAACAGTTTTAACATCATTAAGAGGTATTCTTGTGTAGATAATATTCACCATCATTCTATTTACAATCACCAGCCACCACCACTAACCACCTCTTCCATCACAACCATGACCACCACCACCATTACCATCGTCTACCACCCGTCACTTCTGCCATCACAACCACCATTGTTGCTAACCACTACTGTCCTTATCTCCTTCATCATTATAATTATATCAATTGCCATCACCACGCCCATCTCTGTAGCCGATGCCACCTCCCCCGCCATTAGTGGTCAATTCATACTACCAACAAACTCCACCATCACAACTAGCACCGCCGCCAACTACCACCATACATTCTTTAGTCACCACCTCCACCACTTCTATCAGCTACTACCACCATTATGGTCAGTCTTTACAACCAAAACCTCCAGGCTCCATCATAACTACTAACACCTCTGTCAACTACCACAAACACATTATCAACGATCACACATTCTTCCATCACCACCACCAACTACAAACATCAACCAACTTCACCATTACAATCACCACCATTATGATTGACACCACAACACCAACCACCTCCACCGTCACAACTATCACCACCATCATTGCAAGCCACTAACCATAACTATTACCATCACCACCACCACTACAAACTATCTCCACCATCACTAGCAAGCATAAGTGTTTCATTTTTTTAATCAAGTAATAATTTTATTTTATTAATTTTTTAATATTTAATTAATTTTTATTTGAATTGTATTTTTTTTATGTACATATAAATAAATTATGTACATTCAGATATTGAAAAACAAACAATCTTAATCATTCAGTGTTTAGATCTTGAGACAACATCTTTATCATTTAGATTCAAACGTCTAAATTTTAATGAAAACAAATCTTTAATTCTATGTTTCGCATGCTTCTGCAAAGGGAACTGAACATAATACAAAACTTCACCATGGTCATTTCACCAGATCCATGCAATTTGTACTTCCTATTCTTCACAAAACCAGCTTTACATATTCTAGAGAAAGCATAAATAACTAGTGATGATGTAAATGAAAGTCGACCCCATCATACAGAAAATGCTATTAGTGATAAATCAAATGAAAGTGACTGTATCATATACAAGACACCAACTACATTTTCTGGTAAATACAATTTTTTGGCAAATACAATTGACAGCATATTAATTACACATGATGAATAATATAGGTAGGTAATTTTGAAGATCAGATACCAAGTACATGAGAATAATATCTTGCAACACCAATTGCTATCCATTAAGACTTCCAATATCTTGCAGAAACATGTTCTTTGAAATGATACTTATCTATACAAAGGAATTCAAAAAGTGAATTAAAGTTTCCTTCCCCTTCTGTTCTTAATAGGTAAGTTCTATGATTTCTCTTTAATGCACTTGAAATGGAAACATATGCCATATATTATCTGGATGCACACCTGTCAAGGCCAAATCGAACTAGACATGAGAAAGCATCGGATCTTTTACAATATTTACATCCTCTGGCAATTCGACATGGTAAATCAATGATGTCCGCCAGAACCTACAATCATCACATTTGAAGTTAATGGTAGACATCAAACTTGCATAAGCAACCCAATGAAAGGAACTTCTTGATGGCATTTCATTTTACTTAAAGGGCAGAGTAAATCCAAAATAATTTACATGATTAGTAAGAAATTGTGGTTTTCCAATAGTAAACCATTAGTGGGTACAAGTATGTCCAAATTAACTTTAGAGTTAGATAGCTGACTCGCAAAACACCAAACAGACAATAATTTCAGTGTAACACAGTAACAACATACTTTAAACAGCAATGCGCGATGTCCACAAAGGCCAACAGAAAGGCTACCAATGGGAAACACAATGGATCCTATACAATTCTTCAGATCATTACAGCACTCCTTCCAGATAGGAATGAAGTCACCTTCTCTGACAGAAGCTGCGCCTCTTATAAAGGGAATAAAAATTAATCGCTAAAAGAACCAAAAAAAAAAAAAAACCCATTGGGGTTTCTCAGAAAAACATTTTTAAAACTTACCCCATGTGATTGCAGATCAACTTTGCAAGCTGATCAACCACCTCTTTTGTGGTGTTGCAACTACGGTACATGCTATGAATTTGATTTTGTAGTTCCTTTAACCTGGGATCACTTCGCCGATCAATCAAAATCACTTCAACTGATGGTACTACAGAGGGATCAACAGCCTTCAGGGATTCAATTGATGGGATACGACCACTTTCTTGCAGATCTGAGCAGAGTGTCCAGATATATGGATCCATCCCCTGAATCAAATAAAATCCATCGGGGACTTTGTCAAAGTATGATAAGCACCCATTTACCTGGTACAGCATAAGATGGAATGAAGAAAATGTCTTTTAGGTATGAAAACCAGGAGGTCTGGGACTATATAACCCGGCTAATTGAAAATATAGACGAGATATTATAAGAACATAACATTAGAAACAATGATAATATAAGGCCATAGTCATATTGAAACTTCTATTCAGATAGAAAATAACCTCAATTGATAACCAATATCTCATGCTGCAATTTTCTCCTCTATGCTAAAATGAATATCTTTTCTATTATGTCTTCTCCTAAAACCGCATGCACTTTCTAGAGGATTATCCCTTTGTCTAATGCTATAATACAACAACAACAACAACATACCCAGTGGAATCCCACTAGGTGGGGTCTGGGGAGGGTAGGGTGTACGCAGACCTTACCACTACCTCGTGGAGGTAGAGAGGCTGTTTCCGGGAGACCCTCAGCTCAAGAACATCAAATCTAAGTGACAGGAGAGCTATATATAAAACATAACAACCAATCCAAAAGATAGTGTATAATCAACAAATGATACAATAACATCAAGAAAGTAATGTGAGGAGTGAAACGCAGTAAACAGCAAAACGGCTAGGACTACTCCAAACGCTAACAGCCCATACCCTCGCGAGGGACGGCAACACGCTAACCCTACTAACCTTCCACCTTAATACGCGACCTCCACTCCTTCCTATCTAGTGCTATAATACTACTCCAAAATTTTAAAATAAGGTAACATGGGATCTACTTTAATACTAATAAAGGTTTAAACTTGAGAAAGATTAATTTTTTCTCTACTTTGAGAACCGTTTTGATTGTAAGAACATACAAGTATACAACAGTAACTTGAATTTCTTGTCAATTAAATGGATATCACTTTTGCGAAGGAGCGCGAATTAAATTTTAACTAATTTCATGCAGTTCTAGTATTGCCTTTGGATATTATATGGTTGTGTTGGTTGAATGCAATGTATCTTGGAGTCATTTTTACTAATCCAGTAACAAACTGAAGTTTAACAAAGTATCCAGAGACTACTTCGAACATCCTATTGAGTATTGGTCAATAAGGGAATCTTCTAGGTAGTTGTACTTGGTACCTAATATATTGATACAATGAATTGGAAACAGTGATTGGGCCTTAACTTCAATACATTTACTGTTTTCTGAGAAAAAACTTAAATACCCTTACTATACAATTATACAACCAAATAGGTAGGCGTATTAATATTAGATACATAGGTAACCACTCATCACAGCTTTTCAGAAAGGTCATGTATTTGGGAGCACCACATCCAACAAGCGAGTTATGCCATAACGTAAATATGACAGTTACAGGTATGACAGGTAAAGTTGAGCAAACAAGTCCCCATGATTATCTTACTTAAGCTGCACATCCGTCAAGTGTACTTAGACAACAGTATAAGTTATACCACAGATACAGTAAATCTCACATGTCTTCTTTTCCTTTTCAATCAAGAATTAGATTGTTGCCCTAACCTGATTTTGACAGGAAATTTATTTCACATTGATCATGCAGCTACGTAAGGAAAGGCTGAAAATTTCCATTACATTCACTTTGATCATGCAACTACGTAAAAGGCTGAAAATTTCCAATACATTAGGGCACAATATAATATAGACATCCTTTGCACAACTCAGTATAGCATTTATAGAGTAGTTAAGGACTCAGGCATCCTTGAGAGACCAAAAAACTCAACAAAATCTAAAAGCATTCTTTTCATCCTCAACTTCTATATTACTTGACATTTGTTTTAACACTTTCAATAGAAATTAGGATGTCATGATAATACAGAAGATATCAGCTTTCAATAGTATTGAGAAAGATCCAGCAGTTAGAATGTTATGAACATAACTAAGATGGAGGACCCATGTGATAAGATGTCAAATTACATTTGGGACCCCGGAAAGATGCCTATATATAGAAGAGGGAAATAATCAATTAGTGTTGATGCTATGAACTTGTCTCTTATTTCTTAGTTGCTTAGATTAATCTAGAGCCTCCCTCCATTCTACCTTTTTATTTCTACTTCTTCCCTTGGAAGGATTTGCTACTAGTTTGGAGTAATTAGAATGATGAACTCTTATAATTGTACATGTAATTCCAATTATCCATTTCAATACAATACGAGTTCATTACACTGGTGCTTTCATTGTTCCTCCTCTACCAATTGGGTGACCAGCAATGTTCCAACAGAATTTCCATTGGCTTTATTTCCTCCTCTAGCACTCCCATTTCAACAACCTCTGTTTTCGGCTCCACCTCCAAACCCCCCTTTTCCACCTTCAGTTTCAGATCATTCCTTCTTGCAGGACTTGAATTATGAGTCTATTATACTCGCTGAATTTACAGATGAGGAGACTAATCTAAAAATTCCAGTTTCAGTACATGTTTACTCAGACATGACTGCAGTGCTGGAGTTTGACGAAAATCCGCAAAGAACTGAAGTTGATATGTGTAGCCAGATTGTAAAAGATGAAGCACTACTAGCTCCTCTTGTTGGACGAGATTGTGTTGTGCCTGATGAGGTTGAGCACTTTGCTTTTGCTGAGAATTTATCTGTTGAATCTGTGGTGATTTCGAATACAATCTCCCCTTCCTCTGAGTTGAATTCTGATTTGGGTGACAAAACAGAGGAAACAGACATGGTGAACCCACATCTCACGTTAGTTAAGCTGGGGATACAATACCAAAATCGGTGAGCCTCGATGATATCTCCAGTGCTTTTATTGTCACATCCCAACTTGCATCTGCACCTTCGATATTCTCAGTTAAGCTACCAAGTTTTCTACTTGAAGGCCAAGAACATAAGCTTGACATGGTGTTTGGATGCAAGGTGTTCGATATAAAGACGGAGAGGGATACTTTTGCAACACTTCTTGGCCCTCATACAACTATTGGTTCGCTTCCACATGCTTTGTGTTTACACATTTGCAATTGGTGTGATACTGGGCAGGTTTTCTGGGCTTGCTTTGATAAGGTAAACTCGAGTGTGTATTCAGTGAACCGAGTTCTACTTTTTGGTTATTCGAAAGGCGAAACACTTCTGAGTGTGGACGATGCTTCAGATGTATGTGATGTATCTTCAGTGACCACAACACATAAGGTGTTTGCTGATATGTCAGACATGTATAAATATGCATACTCTTTTAATCTTGACTCAACTAGACCGTACACTGAATCTGGGAGTGACATTATGATTATAGATAGAAATGCATTGCTCCATAAGATTAAATGCTTACAACTTTCATTTAATCCTGGTGTATTTGTCACACATGATGTTGCCATTTTCTTCTGTGACATGTGTGAAGATATTAGAAGTGTTAGACATATTGAATATCCTTGCATATCTGCTAACCATGTTGTCGGGGCTGTTTCACCCAGTGCATTAGAGAAGTATATCGATGCATATGACTTCCACCAGTACCTCAACTTTCGCAACTTCAACTTGTCCTGGCAGCCATACACTGATGTTGCTTTCTCACATGGCGACAATAGTTAGACTGTGCTTGGGTTGTTGGAGCAGCTAAATGCCACAGGAGAGGTGCCTGTTTATTTGTGGTATAACTCTAATGTCGAGATCAATCTAACAACAGATGTTCTGCAAAGTGGCAATTGGCATGGGCTTATTGTCTTTTATGCTGACCAAAGTTGCATATTTTTGTGAAAAACCAATGTGCAAGAACAGTATTTGGACGTTTGGAGAATCCCAAACGATTTTGCAGCAACGATTTAGATCAGAGAGCTGGTGTAAACATGAATTCTGGTATAAGCTTTATCCATGGTGTTCTGAATGATGGCCCTCAATCTGAGAAATGGAACGGTGGTGTTTCTGGATCAGCTTTACCTACTGATTTTAACCAGTGTCTTCATTTGTCTAGTGGTCATTCAATTGTGGTATGGGTTGACGACTGCTCAGTAATAGTCTTATGGATCATCCTTGAGATTTGTATTTGACTCTTTTGTGGGTTAATGCCATTAGAATATCCAATTACAACCAATTTAAAAAAGGAGCAGCCACATCTTTTCTGACGACAAGTTTCCAATTCACAGGTTTGATCATTATTGGATCCAAGCTAGAATGATGCTTGAGGTGCTTGCGAAAAAGGTAGTTTTATTTAAAAAGGTTGCTCCTGAGGTTGAAAGAGCGTAAGATTTTACCAGTGAACAAAACAAAAGAGCTACTATACCATATTTACGAAAGCAAATGCTCTATGAACAGCAAGTTGACCAGCTTGAAAATTTCCATTTGCCTCTCCTCAATCATATGTTACTGTTAGAAGGTGCAAACACCACGACAAACACTATTATTGATGTTTTGGAAACTGCAGCAGCTACAAGGGAAGTCACGCTGAAGGCACCGATTATTGAGGATATTGACAAAACAATTGTTGCAGTCAGCGAGCATATGGAGATTATAAAAATGCTACAAGAAGCAATCTTTTCGCATATTTGTGCAGCTGCTGATTTTGTCGAAAGTGAGTTGCAGGCAATAAATAACAAGAAGGAAGGCCCAAATAATGCGTTGGAAATTTGTTGGCTGGATATTGTCCAAAAATTGCTCCAAATGTGTTCTATGAGATGTTACGGAAAACTGGTGGGGCTTCCAATGGACTAAAGATGTGGTCTTGCTCTCTACACACGATCAAGTGTCTGTAGGATGCTTCTGAAATTGGGGCGAGATATGCTGTGTTGGTTACATCTGTAGAAGAGTTATCCCCTAATGAATATATGCTATTGGAAGTTGGTTTTGTGTTAGGTGCTGGAAGGATTTTGTTCAAACTGGTTGAGAAAGTGGCTGTCCCCAGGAGTGTTTTTTGGACTACAAAGACCTTACAAATGCCAATGCCATCAATTCATAATGTTTTAGAGGAGTTGGATCCAACAATTTTCAATGCTCTCAGATCAAAGCTCCATAAGGTGTTCAACGTTGGTACTTTAGTCCCGCCATCTTCATCTCCCAAGAAACTCTTTGATGCTAATCTTGTTGGACATGGATACATCTTCTGGTTTAAAAAGCAAAACAAAGGATCGTTGTTGAATGTTGCTTTGGATAATGAAGCGTCTAAAGAACTCCTTTGGGTTGTTAACACTGATAAAGAGGAACAAGACAACACTGTGGTCTCATTACGACTATACTCGAACCTTGAGGACAAGGTTCTTATTGAGGAGGGGAGAATTGTTGTGAATATAACTAAGATGGAGGACCCATGTAATAAGATATCATATTACATTTGGGACCCCGGAAAGATGCCTATATATAGAAGAGGGAAATAATCAATTAGGGTTGATGCTATGAACTTGTCTCTTATTTCTTAGTTGCTTAGATCACTCTGGAACCTCCCTCCATTCTTCCTTTTTATTTCTACTTCTTCCCTTGGAAGGATTTGCTACTAGTTTGGAGTAATTAGAATGATGAACTCTTATAATTGTACGTGTAATTACAATTATCCATTTCAATACAATACAAGTTCATTTCATAGAACGTCAGTCCCCTTCACCGACATAATCAACTGTCATCTAAGCATGGGAACATCTGCAATCTAAACTAATATTCCATTCTCTATACTTAGAACTTAATGCTTCTATCTCTGAAACTTGGTGAATAATGGACCCCCTACCTTTCTCCAATAAATACTAGACTTGGTTGACAATTCGAAGTTATAATGTGTACGTACCACATCTTGAGTTGTACTACCTTTAATTGTGACAAGTCATAGAGGTTTAACCTGAACTAATATCTAATATTCCTCTATGTCTTATCAAATATGTATTGGTGAAATTGTTCTTACTACAAAACAGAACCTGATATGCCGAACTTCACACTGTTTTAGCACACAATCTCATATTGAAATTTAAGGAATGATATACTAACAGAACGAAAATAGAGAAAAATCAACAAAATAGAATACAATACATACCCAGAATCGATGAGACATTGCCTCCACTGATGCAGATGAAGCTGAAGCTGAAGCATGGGATACTGATTCATCTGGCACATAATCCAACAAATTGGGATCATCAGCGCAGGTTGCTTCAGTAGAGATCCTCAGAGCTAACGTCAACTGCAGCTGGTAGCTCTCCTCTGTCTGTTGAGCCCAACTTTTGGACAACGAACCTCCACCACCTGAATTAGCATTCATATGCCCAAATGAAACTCCAGAAATTGAACTTTCAGCAAAGCTACCCTCACTTGACTGCGTCGGTAACACAATTGAGGCTTGAAACGGCGTCGTACCTATTTGGCGATCAATCAAGTCCCAATATAATCCCTTATCACTTCTACTTTTGCTCTTCCCGTCTGAATTAAACTCATCGTATGGTGGTTGCTGCTGTAACATCGCATAATTCGAACGTCTACCAGGTACTTCCATGGAGAATCCTAACAATATCAAAGTCAAATTAAACCCTACCAAACTCTGATTTTAGCAAATTGCAGCTTGAACTACTTAATTTTTGCTCTTTCTAGAAGTCATCCAGTTGCCGGAGATGGAGGAAATGGATGGCTTTTCGTCGTCCGGCGATCGGAATATGCCGGTGAATTATGACCAGATACAAATACCATAGGGACAATCTCAGTCCCCAACTTCCCCTTTTTCAGACTGAAGTTGCTTTTAGGCCCAATTCCGATGAATAAAACGTGGGTAACTGTTGTATTTATTTACTCCAAATCCAAACGTGCGGGATTACATTAAATACAGTAATTTATTATTGTAAATTAAATTATAATTTAATAATAAAAAATACTCTGCTCATTTCAATTTATTAATCTCACTTTTTTTATTCGTTTAAAGCTACTCCTAGTAACTTTTAATCTGGTTTAAAATCACAAAATTTTAAAAATGTTTAGACATTCTGTCATGTGTGTTTTTTTAATCTTATTTGGCCTAAATAATTTTTATCATATCTTTATTAGGAATAAAAAAAATTCAAAAATGTTAAATCTATTGGGGGTGATTTGTACTAAAGAATACTTATGTGGTGTTATTAAAAACTAAAATCAGATACTATCTTTTGTTTTAATATTTGGAGGAAAACGACTTTTTAAAATTTAATGACTTTTCTTAACAAGGATACTCTAAAGTTGATTGATATTAATAATAGAAAATGAATTTAAAATTAATAAACAGTAAAAAGTCAAATTGATATGATTTTATGTTATACTAGATATAGGACCCCGTGCCAGCACGGGGCCCAATATATATATTTTTTATTATTTTAATTTATGTCATATTATGAAATTTGAGAAGTTATTGAAATTTTTATATCATTTAAAAAATATTTTAAATTTTTAGCTATTGTGATTTGTAGTACTTTTTTTTAACATAATTTTGAAAAAAATATTTATTACTCTGTTTGTTCTAATTTATGTGGCACACGCAGAATTTCAAATATTAAGCATTTTTTATATGTCTCTTTAATATATTAAGTTGTTAATTATTGTATTTTATAGTACATTTTGAACCTAATTTTTTAATAATATATGTTATTTGCCATGTCCCAATTTATGTGGCATTAATTGATAGATTTGTTGGAGTCGAGAGATTTATTTTGTTAATTATTGTAATTTATATTTTTTTTCCGTCAATTTCAAACAATATATGTTGTTAATTGATAGAATACTTTTAATGTAATTTTTTAAAAAAAATATGTGTGACTCTCCATGTCCCAATTTATGTGGCACATGTAAAGTTTTGACAATTAACCAAAATTTTAATACATTTAAAAAATATTTTTAAGTCGTTAAATTTTAAGTAATAAGTAATTTAAATTGTTGTATTATTTATTACAATTTATAATACTTTTAAAGTAGTTAAAATATTGTACTATTTATTATGATTTATAACTTTTTTAAAAATTTATGTCATATTATGGAATTTGAGAAGTTATTGAAATTTTTATATCATTTTAAAAATATTTTAAATTGTTAGCTATTGTGATTTGTAGTACTTTTTTTAACATAATTTTGAAAATAATATTTATTAATCTATTTGTTCTAATTTATGTGACAGATGCAGAATTTCAAATATTAACCCTTTTTTATATGTCTCTTTAATATATTAAGTTGTTAATTATTGTATTTTATAGTACATTTTGAACCTAATTTTTTAATAATGTATGTTATTTGCCATGTCCCAATTTATGTGGCATTAATTGATAGATTTGTTGGAGTCGAGAGATTTATTTTGTTAATTATTGTAATTTATAATTTGTTTTTCGTCAATTTCGTCGACTATTTTTTTATTAATTATTGTAATTTATTGTTTCTTTTTCGTCAATTTCAAACAATATATGTTTATCATATAATCCATTTTATGTGGTACCAATAGAATTTAGAGAGTCAATTAAATTTTGTATATAAGTTTTAAATAATTAAGCTGTTAATTATTGTAATGTATAGTATTACTTATAGTATTTTTAAATATATTTAAATATTATATGTTAGGTTTTTTATCCTAATTTATATGGCATTGATAGAATTTAAAGTGTCAAATAATTGTTAATTATTGTAATAGATAATATGGAGTATTTAAGTCATTTATAGTATAGTATAATTAATATATAATATGTAGTATTTAAGTGTTATATTATGGAATTTGAGAAGTTATTAAAATTTTTATATGATTTTAAAAATATTTTAAATTGTTAGCTATTGTGATTTGTAGTACTTTTTTTAACATAATTTTGAAAAAAATATTTATTATTCTATTTGTTCTAATTTATGTGGCACATGCAGAATTTCAAATATTAACCCTTTTTTATATGTCTCTTTAATATATTAAGTTGTTAATTATTGTATTTTATAGTACATTTTGAACCTAATTTTTTAATAATATCTGTTATTTGCCATGTCCCAATTTATGTGGCATTAATTGATAGATTTGTTGGAGTCGAGAGATTTATTTTGTTAATTATTGTAATTTATAGTTTCTTTTTCGTCAATTTCAAACAATATATGTTGTTAATTGATAGAATACTTTTAATGTAATTTTTTTTAAAAAATATGTGTGACTGTCCATGTCCCAATTTATGTGGCACATGTAAAGTTTTGACAATTAACTGAAATTTTAATACATTTAAAAAAATATTTTTAAGTCGTTAAATTTTAAGTAATTTAAATTGTTGTATTATTTATTACAATTTATAATGCTTTTAAAGTAGTTTAAATATTGTACTATTTATTATGATTTATAACACTTTTTTTTTAAATTTATGTCATATTATGGAATTTGAGAAGTTATTGAAATTTTTATATGATTTTAAAAATATTTTAAATTGTTAGCTATTGTGATTTGTAGTACTTTTTTTTAACATAATTTTGAAAGTAATATTTATTACTCTATTTGTTCTAATTTATGTGGCAGATGCAGAATTTCAAATATTAACCCTTTTTTTATGTCTCTTTAATATATTAAGTTGTTAATTATTGTGTTTTTTTAGTACATTTTGAACCTAATTTTTTAATGCTATATGTTATTTGCCATGTCCCAATTTATGTGGCATTAATTGATAGATTTGTTGGAGTTGAGAGATTTATTTTGTTAATTATTGTAATTTATTGTTTCTTTTTCGTCAATTTCAAACAATATATGTTGTTAATTGATAGATTTTTTGGAGTGGACTATTTTTTTTATTAATTATTGTAATTTATTGTTTCTTTTTCGTCAATTTCAAACAATATATGTTTATTATATAATCTATTTTATGTGGTACCAATAGAATTTAGAGAGTCAATTAAATTTTTTATATAAGTTTTAAATAATTAAGCTGTTAATTATTGTAATGTATAGTATTACTTATATTATTTTTAAATATATTTAAATATTATATGTTAGGTTTTTTATCCTAATTTATATGGCATTGATAGAATTTAAAGTGTCAAATAATTGTTAATTATTGTAATAGATAATATGGAGTATTTAAGTCATTTATAGTATAGTAATTAATATATAATATGTAGTATTTAAGTGTTATATTATGGAATTTGAGAAGTTATTAAATTTTTTATATGATTTTAAAAATATTTTAAACTCATAACTATATATTTCAATGTACAAGATTTTGATAAAATAAAATCTTTAAAGTTAAATTATAATGTTTTTGAAATTTAAATTATTAAAACATATATAATGATTTTATAGAAAAAATAATATCATATAAAATTAAATGAAAAGGATAATAAATTCAACTATTACCATGATAAGGTTGAAAAATATTATTTAAGTGGAAGGAGGTGGGGCCCACTTATATATTTTATATAGTAAGTATTGGACATTTGTAATGATTTAATTGGAACAATGGTAGTAAATCCTAGACTCTTCTAATATATAGTAATTCAACCTAATTGCCATGTTGAAATATTCACAATTTATACAATTTTTTTATGATTTCAATGTTACAAGTGAACAAACAAACAAAAACATATTTTATAAATGTGACATGCATGTTATTTTAGGCAATAGGATTTCATGTTAAATTCAATGTAATATACGTATAATGCTTAAATTATATTGGATCATCGTGATTTCAAATTACAAAGCATGACAAATTGGTATAACTTCATATTATATCAACCTAATTATCTTGTTGAAATTGTCATATATTTTAACTTTTCATTCATGATATTTTTTTTTAAAAAAATTATTTTATTAGATTTTTTTCTAAATCTTTTTTAAGGGAAGATAATATTTCTAGTCCTTGTGTTATTGCATTGTTCCTATTTAAATCCTCGTGATATTCGATTAAGCGTATTTGACCTATAAATCAATGTGTGTGATTATAGTCCTTCAACTAACTGATGGCAAATAAAATAATGATATGTTAAATTGTAGAGGGCAAGTCATGTATTTCATGTTGCTTTTATTCCATACACTTAAAAAAAAAAACTATGTTTGCATATTATTTATCCAGTATCTATCAACTTATTGTCTTCCTCAATAATATATTTCCTTCTATTAATTATTATCATTTCTCAAGAAAAAAACAAATGCTTGTTGTTATGATTGTCTTTTTGATTCTTCTCATTCACTTTTTTTTTTTAGATAAAATTAATTTTGAATGACAACAATCTTCAGTCATTTGTTAATGATTTCCTCCTAATTATCCACAAAGGGCTAATCTCCATTTCTTCTTCTCTTTCTTTTGGATCTTGCATAGAAGGTTAGTGTTATGACTTCCATGGCATCAACTCTCACACATGGTGCAAATCTGTTTCACACTCCGATCTATTTTTTGTCCTAGTTTTAACGAATTCGAAAGATATTTTTATAGAGATATTTGAGATTAATAATAAACATGATGTTTTGCATCATAAAGAGGAATCAAATCAGCAAAGTAAAATGGTACTACGTGATCCAACTAGAATATATTTTATAATAAATAATTAATGGAGTATAACCGCACTAAAAATATAAATACTTGATTTTCCCCTCAACAATTTAACAGATCGTCAATTTATTTGATGACGATTAATTAAAAAGCTAAAATCATACGCATTGCTTAATTGAAGGTCAAATGCGCTTAACAGAATATAATATCATAAGGATCAAAATACGAATAATGCAATAACACAAGAACTAAAAATATTATTTTCCTTTTTAAAAA